CCGCCCTGGCTCCTCCCTGCCGAGCCCACGCGCTGCTTCCTCTTCTTCACCGCTAATCTGTGCCTGCTCCCCGACGGGCTGGCGTGCTTCAGCAATCTGTCGCATTGCCAGCAACGGGCCGAGGCCATTGGTGCCGCGCTGCTCAGCGGCCTGCGGTCCTCGCTCTACGGGTCTGTGGACTGCAGCCAGCCACAGTCGGAGGCACCGCGCGGGGTGCTGACGGCTGCGGTGCCTGCCCGCCTGGACTTCGTGTGCCTGCAGGAAGTGTTCGACCTCCGTGCGGCTCGGCGACTGGTGCGCCGCCTAGCGCCAAATCTAGGCCCGGTGCTGTTCGATGTGGGCACACTAGGCCTTCAGCCTGGACCGCATCTCAAGCTGCTGGGCAGCGGGCTGCTGCTGGCCTCGCGCTACCCGCTGCTGCGCGCCACCTTCCGTTGCTTCCCCAAGGCGCGCGGGGAGGACGCGCTGGCCTCTAAGGGACTACTGTCCGCACAGGTACTTGCCCACCAGCTGTAGCGCTCCTGGCAGGGAGGGGGCATGTGTTGGGTCCAGTGGGCAAAGGGAGCTGGGGCTACCTGCGGTGTTACAGGCACAGCTGGGCGTCCAGGACGGGCGCCGCGTCGTGGGATTCCTGCACTGCACGCACTTACAGGCACCTACTGGTGAGCCCAGGAGGGCGGTCAGGCCAGCGCAAGCCTCTGCGTTGGCCTGCACCCCCGCCCCCCACCTCCCACTGGTCACTGCTCCAGGACCTACAAGTCCCTGTGAAGGACCTTGGTGGGGCGGGGTGAGGGGGCTGGATGTCCAGGGTCTGCACCCCAGGCTGAGCAGATCCCACCCCCGTACCCCACCCCCATAGAGGACGGGCCCTTGCGCTGCAAACAGCTGACGCTGCTGCTAGAGTGGGCGGAGCAGTTTGAGTCGGAGAGCTGCCTGGCGGAGGAGGCCGTGGCCTTCAGCGTGCTACTGGGTGATCTGAATTTCGACAACTGCTCCCAAGGTGGGGAGAGGCTGGGGCGGGCAAGGCAGGGCGGGCGGGGAGGTTGCCGCCCACCGCGCCGCCTCGCCTCCTTGCAGACCACGCTCAGGAGCAGGAGCACACTCTCTTCAGCCGCTTCCATGACCCCTGCCGGCTGGGCACACGCAGAGAGCAGCCCTGGGCTCTGGGTATCGCGGGGAGTGCAATGGAGGGTGCAGAAGGGGAGGCAGCCCTGGGGAGACCCCAGCTGAGAGTCTGAGAGTCCGACACCGCCTCGTCGGCCCACAGGGACGTTACTGAGCACGTCCATGCTCCACCACTCGGTGGCCAGCTCCCCAGAGCGGCTGCGGAGGTGAGTGGCCTGGCCACAGCGCCACCCACCCCCGGCCGAGAAGTGTCAGGGCGGTGGTGACACCATCCCTCCCTCAGGGCCCTGGAACAGGAGAAAGGCCGCCACGTCTACCTGGCAGGCCCCCCCAGCGGAGGCCACCCGCCTCGGCCCTGGCTGGGCCGGCGCCTGGACTACATCGCATACCGGGCGGCGCCTGGAAGCCAGCTGAACCCAGTAAGTGCGGGAGACCAGAAAGGCTGGGCCCGCCCACAGAGGCAGGACCCTCAACCCGACCCCCTCCGCAGGAGGTGGAGCGGGTGACGTTCAGCACGGCCCTGGCGGGGCTCACAGACCACCTGGCCGTGGGCCTGCAGCTCCGCGTGTCGGTGCCCTCGTGAGGCAGAAGCACAGCGGCAGGGGCACAGGCCACTAGGGATGCAGACGCGCAGCCAGCGGCTTAGAGGGCTTAGAGCTTTATTGAGGCCTGTCCTCACACTGCCTCCTGCGCCCTGCGGTACTCATAGACGCTGCCGCGCTCGGGGAAGGCAGCAGGGAGCGGAGGCGACCCAGGAGGCGGGGCAGGGTCCTCCGGGTCCCCGTAGCCCCCGCCACCGGGCGTGTAGAGGCAGAACACGTCCTGTGGAGCAGAGGGGCGTGTTCAGCGCAAGCCCAGCGCGCACCTGCCTTGTGCCCGCCTCCGCCCCCTCCGCGGGCAGCACCCATCACCCGCCGCCACCTAATTTCCTCAGCCAAATTAAATCTGTTCTCTGGTTATTTCCGCAACTCTGCTGGCCACCGGCGATGGCGACAGATGAGGGACGGGAGCAGGGCAGACTGTAGCCTCACCCCGGGGTACACGGTCACCGACGTCTTCCCTCCCAGATTCACCGTGCGACCGTCCTTTCGGGTCAGCAGGTTCAGACCACGGGCGCCAGGCTCACCTCCTGCGGGCAGAGCAGGGGTGGCGTGTCGGGGAGGCGAGGGAGAGGCAGTGGGGGCCCGGGAGGGCAGGGGGTGGAGAGCACTGCCCACCTTAGAGGCCGTAGGGCTGGAAGGCACGGCGCTCGGTCAGCACCGACAGCAGCGCCTCCTCGCGGAAGAGCAGCTCGCGGACCACGCCGTCGCCGCCGCGGAAGCGGCCTCGGCCTCCGGAGCCCCGCCTCAGCTCGAAGCGGCGCAAGATGACCGGGTACCTGCGCAGGCGAGGGACTCAGGCGACCCGAGCTAGGGTCCCCACACGGCCCAGCTACTCAGCCCCCGGCCGCGCCCTCCGCTCACCTGCTCTCCAGGATCTCGGGGTCGGTGATGCGTGTGTTGGTCATATGGCTGTGCACGCCGCTGCGCCCATGCCAACCGGGGCCCGCGCCCGCGCCGCCCGCCCCCGC